ACAAACGGCCGAACAATACATGGCTTTGTTCGATTTTGTGGGGTTGCCTTCGTCATCTCTGCTCTCCTCCATCTGCTCCACCATATTTGATCGGAGGACGCGGCTGCGATCAGAAATTCCGAAATAAATCGAGGAGTTGCCCCCCGAGTCTTCCACGCGGGGCATTCAACTCGGAATCGAGCAGTCCACATGGACCGGGCCACTCCTGGGTATTTCCAGTCATGTATCGAGGGAAGATTCGACGCGCGTTGCGGCCTCGCTTGACGGAGAATCCCAGCGACCTTCGTGCAATAGTTCTTGGAACCGGGGTCCGAGGTGCGCGATTCCTTGACGTTGTCTAGTCTAGGTACCGATATTCAGTCGGCTGCGGGGTTTTCTCAGTTTCTCCCGATCGCGGCTAACCTCTCAATTTTTCTTATTCGCAGAACCCTGAAGTAAATATTGCTTATTTATCCGGATGATAAGACACGTCCAGGTGGTCTCTTCTGTCTTTTTTTGGAGCGTTGGCGGAGCTTCCTCCCGCTATCTACTTCTCAATAAAAACAACTTCCCCACCATTTGTCGCGGAAACAGCTCCAACCCGTTTGCCTGCCTTCGCGCGAGCGGCTCTTATCCCGAACAGCTGATTTTTGCCTGTTTTATGGGCGAACGGCGTTCCATGCGATTGCTGGCTCATTCCGTTATCGTTATTCGTTCCAGATGATCGACAGTGTTATACGTGCATCCTTGAACACGCATTCCATTCCCAAGCTGCACATTACTCGAAGGCTCTGATTTTCGCCGATTCCTACGGAGGAGGATGAAATTTCCTCGGATCCTCTTGGAGCGTGGCACATCCGATCCGATAACCCGCGAGCCGATAACCCACTGTGTTGTTGGGTTATTCGTGTTCGCTACCGCTCAGGGGAGTGGGAGCACCTCCAGGGAAAAGCGAGCAGGCAGGAAAGTCGAGCGGAAATCGAAACAATTCTGGAGAAATATTCCGCGCTCGTGGCCGCGTAATCTCTCCGTACGACGACGCGTAGGACTTCCAAGAGTCTCAGAGCTTCTTTTGTTGTGGGAATCTCTGTTTCATTCCTTGTTCCTGCTGGTCTCTCGACTGATTCTCACAGAGTGCTGCTCGGTCGATGGATTCGGAGCCAAATCAGAAGATTGAGCCGAGTAACGACGTCTGCGTGGCTGGCTGGCTAAGAGACTAACTGCCCTATGATCGATGTCGGCTCCGAGCGAGTGACGTTCAACGAACGGAAGTGGAGAGGAAAAGGAGAAGCCCCGGTCTGTCAAAAACTCATTCGGCAAGAAGCAGCAACTGTTCAACTTCAATTCGGAACTACCAATTTCGATTTGCTCTAGCTCATCTTAATAAAGAAATGGCCCGGTCTGTTTGAGCTCAAGTTCCGAGACGCGCAGTCTTCCCTTCAGATTCCCCTTGTTCCGCATCGTCCCGGGGCTCCCGCAATATCTGATGTCTTTTTCCCTTCGAGACTCGCGTCGCTTCCATCCTGATTTGCGGCTAGCTTCCGCGGTCCTCTCATTTGATTAATTTTCACCGGAAACTCCTTTATTTCGATCTCCTCACCGGTCGGCGTTTTTCCCACGTTCTCAAAACTACCTTCGGTCCCTGAAGACCGAAAATTATTCTCAGCTCCCGCCTCGTGCTCCCTCTGGGGCGGCCCGTTTTTCCTCCTTCAGACGCTGCTTGCTTCAGCAAACGCCCGAAACTTTCGGTGCTCCGTAGTCGAGTTTAAATGTAAACAAATTGCATACATAACATCGAGGCAGAAAGTGGGACGTCGGAGACGGGTCTGGGAATGGGAAAAAGAAGGCGGCGAACGGACTTTTGAACTAGCTCTCGCCTGCTGCTTGTCGCTGCTGGACGACAGACCATAGGGGAATCAAACGGCTTGCTTGGCTCGCTGCGAAAGCAGTGAGATTGATTGAAACAGCACATGGGCGCAGTCCGCTCGGATGAAGGCTCGCGTCGTCGTTCTTGCGTCCGGTCGCACGCCGGTCAGTCAGTGGCCGGTCGAGGCGAGCGTTCCGTCTGCATTCCCGTGCGCTCCGGTCAGATTGCGCAAATTTGAGCCCAAATCGTTCCTCAACGGGCCGTCGCTCGCTCATTCCGGACGTCGGCGTCGCGTTTGGCCCCGGATCCTTGGACCTGAAAAGACCGGGAAGAAAACATACTCCCGGGAAAAACCCATTGGTGGAGCGAACGACACGGAATGTGATCATAGCCATTGAGCTCGAGTCGTGCTGGCGCCCTGGCACGTATTTCACATCGACTGTCGCTTCCTCACATGGCTTCGATCCGGATATGTGTGTAAGGGAGAAAGTCAGACGCATACCCTGGCTGTTGTATCGGAGTAGATTCAGGAAGTTTCTCCGGGATTTCGATCCGATGCCCTCTTTCGTATGTGAGGCCCCGATCAGGGTCTCTACTACTGGAGGGCGAGACAGTCCTCGACCGCCCGCATGGAGATACGCCGCTCGACCTCTCGTCCATCTCACGATTTTCCTCGTTCGTTCCCGCAGCCTTCGCATAATTTCCGCCGTTATCCTCGCGGGGAACAGGTCTGTAAAATTCCATGTGGACATTTGCTCTTGAGAGACTTCCCGCCAGACGGGAGCGAACCAAGGACTCGACGGTGAAAATTTCACGAACTATGTCTGGGAAATGTCTTGAATGATGGGCATTAAATGACTTTTTCTCCGGTCTCCGGAACTACAATACATGTTCCTTTCCAATGAGAGACTTCTCCCCCCTCGGACTCCGCGGTGCGGCTGTCTGCCGAGACCGATACGAGAGGGCAAAATAAGATATCGCTCCTGCGCCGATGGAGAATCGATGTTCCATGATTCCGCGATAATGAGTAGCAGGTCGAACCCGGGTCTCGAGGCTCGATACATGATAGTGGTCGTTGAGATATTGCGAGCGTTGGCAATTGACCGAGGGCTTATCAGGAAGGAACGAAAAGAATGAAGAGGTTTCTCCGCGCGCGAATTAATAAGGAAATCCCGTAGCGAAGATCAAGTTGTAGATCCACCGCTCGATGCCCGGCTTTCAGTGGCCTTAGGTGGTCTCCGAGGTGTCCGTCACTCAGTCAGGCGGGCATGCTGGCAGGATGGTAGGGCGCTCGGTCAGTTGGCCTACAACGGTCTGGGGAGCAGTCGGACTCAGGAGCCAGAGGCCCAAGTCCAGCAATAGCAGCACCAACGGCGGCGGCGGCGGCAATGACGGCCAGGAGTGGTCATTACCCTCAGCGATTGTTACCCCGTTCCCGAGATCTTGTGCGTTCATTTTTTCTTCCTGCTCTCCTTGCTTTGCTCCGTGCCGGCCCGTCCCTCAATAGAAGGAGCGGCCCAACCGCGCCAAGGCGGTACGGCCATCACTCTTTGGTCCGCTGGGGAAATATGGGGCCGGAAGGCCGAAGAGAAGAAGACAACGCTCCTACTTCTGGACCGCAAAGGGGCGCAAAAGCAGAGCCTACATCGCTTTTGATTATTACCCACTAGCCATGTAATATCGTCCGCTTCCTGAGGAATTATTCTCACCACTACAATCCAAGGGCGACCTCGACGTGCACGACAAGTCTCATCGACGAGCGCCGAAATGCGAAACACGCTCCTCTGGCCAAAGCTCCTTGAGAGGATGCGTGACCCATACAGAAACGAGCAGCGCTCGAAGAGGGAGGAGAAGTATCGCTCGAATGGAGATCGCGTGGGATCTTCTCGTAGGCGCCAAAGACGCATGTTTCCGTCAAAATGGAATTCCGAACGAGCCGAGTCCGTGATGCATGATGGCTCTCGAAGGATGTGATGCCGAGCCAATCCGCTCGGGACTCCGAACGAGCAAACACAACAAGCGACCACTTCGCCAGTCGTCCGAGCGCGCAAGGCGTCGACCCACCAGGCGTGATGCTCCGTCGGGAGGGGTAGGGCCTCGCCCCGAGTCTGACATTGGCTCCACTCAATTTCGTAGTACGTCAGGTTCGATTTGCCCCCACTTCGCATCGTAACTAGTTTCTCGCCTGCTCGGCGGCAACGATTGCACTATGATGAGCTCGCGGACCTGGCAGCGAATGATTTCGGGGAAATGAGCGAGGAGGAAGACCGAGATTTATGTTGCTGTGGCGGTCAGAGAAAAGGCAGCGAGAGACCTATAGACATAGCCCGAGTTTTCTGGAGGAAGCTTCTCGGGAAGTGTCTTTCGGAAAACTCGAGCATGGAGAGAAGATGCAAATAAGGACTAAATCTCGGGCTTCCAACTCCTCAAGGCGGCGCGAACCAATGCGATATCGGCGCTCACTCCCTTCGCGAGTTTTTAGAGCTCACGGCAGGCCTCCAAAAGAGTGTTCAGACTTCACTTAGCAGCAATGAGCGCCGAGTCGCCACCCATGGGTCCGGCAAGTCTACCGAGCTACGGAGAGCCCGATTCTCTCGGTCCTGCGGTGGTTGTGCGGGCGGATAGAGAAAAAACAAGTCGAAATTTCAATAAATATTCAATTACGAAGGACACTTTAAGAGACGTTCAGTCTTCGCTCCAAACTGTTCTCCCCTCGGTCGTTGCGTTTTTGTTGCACCGTGCGCTATAATGATCACCATAGTTGTTGCGGAGCCATCCCGCCATTGTTCTATCGTTTGGAAACAAGAGAATATCATCGACCCGGAGAAGCCTATCAAGGGCTAATATTGCGGCCAAGGTGATGATTGCAAGGTGCTGCCTCGCTTTTCAAGCTGTTGGTCCTTGATGTGGATCCTGAGCACCGAGAGCGATTAGGCGGAGAAAGGCGATAATTACCGAACATGGAGAGGTCTCATCATTCGCGAGCTGATATCCACCTTGTTCCTATCCTTCCGTCATTGCATTGGAGGTGGTCGCGGAATAGCGAAACCCAGGCTCATGAATAAACATCGGATTCCCGCGGCCCAGGAAAATACATATAATTGACGCTATTCATGACTTGCGTGACTCATGTTCTTGTCTCTAATTATTGCAGGTATTATCCGACTCAAGGACTTCATTAAAGGAGCGCGACGTGAGGGCTGGAAGATTCAAATGTACCAGTTTGTCCCCAACCAGCCATACAGAGATCTCTTTTGGAAGATCAAGAAGTCCGACCAGCACAGGGTGGTTCTAGATGTTCATAGGAAAAACCTCTACGAATGCCTTAAACATGTGAGTGTACGGGGAGGATCCGATAGCTTCCAGGAAGGATTCTCGTAGATTCTCGAATTATTTCGGCCGATAATCGAATCTCCATGAGTGTAGTAAGTTTTGGACGTCGGATCACAATACGGTTTTTAATGCAACGGGGTAATATGTATGGAAGAGTGAACGAGAGAGGAGTTAGGAATGCCAGGCGGACGATTGCGGTAATTCGAAAGAGTTCCAGAGCTGGACATTGGTGGCATTTTTTGCTCTCTCGAGCACGATACTACGCAACATGGGAAGTGTTCTGCTGGACCGCCAGGCTCCATGAGCGGACTGTCATCTGCAAAGAGCTGAATCTCATCTTCATTCAGCAGCTCTGCACTGCTGCCAGTGCATTAGCTCTGCTTGTGCCTAAATGGTCGGATAGGTTCCGTACCTCGTCATTGTAAATAGTTGCGGTGGCGGCAACTGCTGCGGCGACAGGACCAGCAGCAGAAGCATTGCGGTTCCGTTTGCGTGGCCGAGCACGCGTGCTCTGGCTGTTCGCTTGCCAAGCTCGTTGTTGGGTCACTGTGCGCCCGCTGCGCCTGGTTCGGTATTCCCGTAATGGTATCATAATTGAATCCTCAACAGAAGAGCCGTCCTTCACGGCACCGGAGGGGGCGGGGGAAAAGGGCGGCAGGGCTGAGGGCGATGAAAGAGGGGGAGGGGGAGGAAAAACTCGATCGGTAAGCACCAACGGAGTCATTCGTTTCTCCAATTCCCTCCGCTGCCATCCGTCTCCCTGACCGACATATCTCAGATATTGATCGGTACACAGCTCGAGTGACTTACTGACCGACTGAGTGAGACCAACTGGTCTGGATTGATCGCAATCGCAGTACCGAGTTCGTGGATAATGTCAGGTTACAGTGAGGCTTCGTCTCCATCTGGTCGCACATTCCCCTACACGCTTTCGAAGTCTCGGCGGATTCATTGTAAAGAATAGCTCCTTGGAATTCATCTGAGCTCTAGGAATTTGATGTTTCCGTCCCGACGGTCTCCATTTCCCCCTTCGTTCCCAATCGGTTCGCTTCGGGAATATTTGATCTGTGGCGGACATTGAGACTCTCTGTCTCGGTTCGGGATGGCACCGAAGTAGACCCTCTCTCCGGAGTCGGAAACGAAATCTCTGCGCTGCGTCTGCTCCTTTCTGGAGTTTGATGGCTTCTCGGAGGAAGCGGACGTCGGCGGCAGTTGCTATCAGAATAATTTTCGAATCTGGCGTAGACTTCCTCATTTCGTGTTCCCGCTGACAGTTCAGCGGAGATCAACTACGCGGGGTAGAATCACCATTTGAATCGTGCGAGCAAGTTCACTCGTGCGAATTCCGCGACATGCATATTTTTGTGGACAGCAGAGTCGAAACTCACGAATGAAATTCTCCACGGGGACCTGAGGAAAAATTCCATGTTGGAATACTTCTTCGACTCCCTCAGCAGGATTCCTAGTTCAGACGCCCTTTTTCGAAAGCCTTCACCACCAAACCATGGGTGAGGGTGTCATTTTCTTACAACCATTCTCGCAGAATCTTTGACCCCTTCACTGGTCTTCTATTTTCTGCAGATTAGCAAGGGAATTCCGCGAGAACTCCCGCACAAGTCGCGATCTGCGAAAATTTACAGCCCTAAAGATAATTTTCGTCCCTCCACGCTCTATATCCTCTGCCACTCCCGACATCTTCGCGAGTCGCCCCGTCGACCATTCGGTCCGCTGAACTTTTGACGCGAAGTTTCTAGCGTTATGCGAGTTCTTGTCGGGGGCAGCGAAACTGCCGCGGGCGATTTTCTGAATCTTCGTCCGCTTTTGATTCCATCCCTCCCCGTTCGTCTGGGTCCGCGACTCGTTTGTTTTGAAGAGAGCAAAGATTTCCCTCGATTCCCTCGGGTCCTCGGGGGAAACATAAATACGAGGATAAGACGAAGCTCCGTTCCCAGGTGGGTGTGACTTTCGAAGATCCGCCCGGACGCGTTCGATTTTTTATTAATTACCGGTAACCCCGCGCGCGAGACCAAGCTCCCGCTATTGTTATCAGGCCGCGGGCTCGGGTCATCGAGTCGTAGGATTGCTATAGCTTTGTAGGGGGACACGAGTTCCTTTATCACTTGTCCGGGAGGCTCTGCCAGATCCTCGCATGGTCATGACTGGTATGCATGGTCATAGAGCAGCTGGCGCTCATCATTCGACGATCAATGCCATTCTTATCGAATTGCATCGGATCTTATTCTTATTTCCATCCATTCATTGAATCATCGATCCCGATTCGCTTTTCGTCAACTATTTCCCTCGGATTCCGTTTCAAGGGAATGGGGAGCTAGGCGACCTTCTGCGGAGCTCAGGAGTTTCGAGTAGAGCGTAGCTCGAGCACTGGAAGGAAAGAAAAAGTGGAGTGAAGACACAGGATCAATGCGGTCCTGTCTGTCATCTCGATGGAAACTCGCGAGCCGGGAGCGACCGTCGCCCCTTTCGATTTCCGTCTCTATAGGGAAAGTGACACCGCGCAGGTCTGTTGAATCAGCGGCGACTCAGTTTTCCCTAAAGGGTGGTACGGAGGACAACTCCACATGGACTGATGACAAGCTTCGAGTAGGGTCGGAGCACAAGAAGCTGGAACGGAGACCGGATGAAAGCAAATATTCCACAAGGATAGGAAATAAGCGAGAATGGGGTTGCGCTCCGAGATTTCCTACTTCAGGTTTACGGAGGAGTCCCAGGAATTAATACGACAACCGTCGCCGACAGTGACAGAGGACTCTGGTCGGCCCGTCGACCGCAGATTGGACCGCGGGGAGCCGTGGACGAGTTCCGATCAAAGGGAAGAAGGCTCGTGCCAGCTCGAGATGGGAGGGCACGCACCAAGCAGCTTTCGTGAGACACCGGACCTGAGTGAGTCCCGTCGAGATCGCGGGGCGCGTTCGGGAGGGTCCACGCGGAAGACGAATTCGGAGAACCCGATCCGGACCGGAAGTGCCGAACTTTTTTGTGTCTCGCGGAGCTCTGGGAATTGATTAACATTCTCCGACCGCATCGTCAACAAACGAACAGAATAGGACAATGAGTTCAGAGACCACACGGACACGGAGTGCAAGAGCATCAGGAGCAGGAAGGAAGGAAAACACGGCACGTCCTACGGAACGAGTATTGAGCCCGCTCCTCGGACCGAAGGCAAAGACGCGTAATAATCCTTTGTACGTCGGCCGAAGCCAAATTGAGAAAAACGGCTGAATGGTCGTCTTTCCGTAGTTGGCAATTATCATCGGACGTGCTCTCTTCGTGGCCGGATCGTCTGCAGCTTCTGCCCGGTCCGTCCTGTGTTCCTTCGGATCTTCGTGTTCTTGTTGTTATCCGCAGACCTGTCGTTGGCGCAGCTCGTACTACAAGCAGTCGACTGTCCACAGCGATCTTGTTGTCGTTGTTGTTTCGGCAGCGCACAAAAAAACGGTCGTGGTCGTTGTTCGATTGGTGATATGCTCTTCTCCCGGTGTGCGGCAACAGTTTGTCTGCTCAGTCTTCCCTGTTTACCTTGAGATTCTTCTCGCATACGACCTGTGGATCCGCGGACGATCCGGGAGCGCTCCGCGAGACGAGCGGTGGAACTATCTATGAACGAGTCATTGCACAAGATTGGCAACAGTCTTTTGTGTTCTCAGCCGCCGCCACCTCCGCCGCTACCATCCTCGCTCTCCGGGGCATGGGTCGCAAGCCAGCCAGCCGACCAACCAGCCAAGCACCGAAACGGGCGAAGAAAATGCGCTCATCACAGACGTGACCGGCTTTCGAGAGTGGACCGACGCGGGCAAGATGTCCAGACAGCTAAACGATGCCGCCACAGGACAGCCCTACAACGAACATCGCTACTACATAAAAGCAATAACTGACGGCAGCAGCAGCAACAACGACAACTAGAACGACAGCAGTATGCTTACAATAAAACAATGTTGCTGACATCGACGTTGTTGGCTTTAAGCAGCGCCGAAACTATCGGAGGAATTCCGGTATCACTCAACGACTGTTCTCTTGCGTGCGGGGTCCGCGAGTGAAATCTGGAGGTTCTGATCAAATGAGCCGTGGTGAAGGTCTGTCACGTGGCGAGAGGGAATTCCCCAATACATCCTGGAAAGGGATCCTTGGAGAAGACATTCACGGCGGGCAGTCGCCGTCAATCCGTCCGATCCATGTCGTGGAGTGTTTTCCCCCTCTGGGATGGGGCGCGGGAAAAAGAGAACCGGGACCCAGGAACCGATACGAATAATATCCGGATGACTTGCTACTGGGGGGTTTGGGAGAAGCTCAGATTGCGAGAGACTTCTCGTGACTCGATTATTTCGGGGTTGGTCACCATCGTTGGTATGCAGCGTGAATCCTTTCGGAGGGTCAAGCAAGTTCTCCGGCTTCGGCTCCGATCTCATCCACGGTCACTCGCGACTCACAGTCCGAATCACCCCTCCCACCTATTCCTGACTCTGGAGGATCATTGCGGAAAATCGAAATTTGACTCCCAAGGCCCGAAGTCGGAGAGGGATTCGGGTCCGCCAAACGGGAAAGAAATCGTTGCGGTGGCGTCAAGCGAATCTCTAGCTGCCTGGAATCGTTTTCTTCTCCAATAACAGGCCGCGTCGAACGCTCCTCAAAGTCCTCGATTCCTCTGAGGCTCGCTTAATTATTCGGTCACAGATGCGGAATTATGAGATTACCCCGCGGAGGCTATCTCACGAATTTTCGAAGCAACGCCGGAGGGATCGTTGTTGCGCCCGAGTTCCGGGTTCGCGTTCAAGGAGATATCGGAGTTCTTCTCTGAATCGGAGTACTCGATCGCGTAATCGTATCCAGCGTAACAGTTGGGATCGGGGCCTAGGGAACAAAGTTGGCCGACCGAGAAGTGAAAAAATACATCGGTACATTCGAATCGCGGGGCCGTGTGTATCTGGAGAGGTATGCATGTGGAGCAGCTGTGAATACAGAACGAAACACCATCCACAGCGAGGGAAACAGGCTAAGGAGCGGCAAGCTGGCAGCCACGCATCCCGTGCGTCCGTCGGCGCGACCGAAGCCAGCGAGCAACGCGAGGACATTGCCTACAGCGGCTCATATTAAGGTAGAAGCGGCCGAACGATGATGACGCTGGACGAGATGACAGGTTGAGGGCCGAGTCATGCTATGCGTCGCCTGAGGCTACTTTCATAGGGATTGTATCGGAGTAGATTAGCCACTCATCTGGGCTTAGGGTTGCCAGCTCGAACGTCCGCCTGCTCACCCGACCTTGTGCGGCTTGCCTGTTTCTACCTGGCTCGGTCCGACGGTCGGATGGAACCACCGATCCGTCGTCCATCCATCCATCCGACCGACCGCCCACTTTCAACATCTGTACGTCGACGCGCTATATCCGCGGCCACAGGTCCTCCCTGCAGCAATCTTCCCAATACCACATTTATAGGAGGACAGCGTTCCACCGAGGCCGTGGTTGATGCCTCCCTTTCATCTCCCTGCATAGAGAGACCGGTGTACCGTGAGCCACATCGCCGTTCCTGCAACACTGCCCGTGGCGATGGGTTACGGGCAGCTGCTGTTGCACCTGCAATGCGTCACGGGATGCGGAGCGGTGAGGTCAAATGAACGATCATTTGTGAACGGAGGATGTCCGATGAAAGGATTAGATGGATGGAAAGCTCCTTCCATCCATCCATACATCGGAGGGAAAGGGGGATGGGGCATGGGAGAGATACCAGCGCAATTATTCCATTGACGATTCCATGCGAGTAAGTGCTCACTCGTCAGTCTGCTCAGAGCGTGGCGGGCACTCGGTCAGCTTAGGGATCTGGCTAAAAGCGAAATCCCCTATCCAGACCACTGGGAGATCTGACAGCCCGCAAACAGTGGCTCCACGAAGATTCCCGGTTAGGTGACCGTTCCCGTGTATCGACCCACGGCGACGCGGGGTCCGTCCGTGGGCGAGAAGATGGTTGAGCAGAGATCTCGATGGGAATCCGGCTCAGGGAAAACGCTCCGCTGTCATTGTGTCGCTCAGATTACTTGGAGCGGCGAGCGAGCGAGCGAGACGAACTGGAGCAACACCCTCAAGTCGTCCGCATCGAATCAAAGCGAAGGAGAGTTTCTGCGTCGCAACGTGCGCAAACGATCTCGCATCGTGGGACAGGCATCGCAATTCATTCGACGACTGCCTTTCGAAACTGAACGAACAGACGAGATAGAATAAGAGAACGATCCAGGGGAGGGAGTCGCGAAGACGAAGGAGCAGATGCCGCAACATGTGTGCTTTAGTCTGATGGGATGCAACATTCGGCTGCTCCTATCCGGGAAAATACCCAGATCGCAAAGTATTCCGAATAAATCAGAGCGTACACGCGTCGAGAGAATGAATTGATGACTGCGATAAGGTTCTCCAAGATCATTGCTCTCCGTGAAGGCAGCCCCAGGACACAAATATGAACAGTCCGGAACAGCACAGCAATCCAGAAGCCCGCAGAAGTCAGAAGTAGAGTGGTGTCTGGCTTGAATGTGATACTTACTGACGTGGTCCATCTCCGTCGAGAAGGGAGGAGGCTTGAATAGCGAGCAGGGAAGATCGGAACTCTCATTTCTCGACGGTATGACACACGTGTTCCGTCTCCACTCGTTCGATATTCTGCGATGGCAGACGGACTGGGAACTCTCTCAGGATACGAGCCCTTCATTACGACGATTGCCATATTTTCCCTCCTCACTATTTTGCGCGATCCCACAGTTTTCCGGCGCTGCGAACGTGGCGTCGTCTGCCGACTCCGAATTTCCTTTTTCGCTGTTTCCGTCGCTTTCGCGATCCTACGCTTTTCCCAGTGCGAAGTCGAGACATTTATTTTCCTTGGGGAGATTTCTGTCGGCCCCGGCCGATATTGGATTCCCGGCGGAGAGCGAATCAACATGATGGATCTGCCGACGTGGAAACTCATGATATTTCATCTCATCAGTCCTGGTAGTATTCGCTTGCTCAGAAAACGTCTATCTCAGTTCAGCTCGTCTCAGAAGCGTCTCTCGACCCAGACTGAAACTGACTCTATGAAGCTCATTAGAGGGATTTGCTTTTCGATGGCGACGCAAAATTCTCTCAGAAGAAAGAAGCATTTTATCTCGACCTCATGTAGCCATCGCTCCTTGGGGCTCAGCATCGGTTCGAGGGGGCGTGCAGCAGTAAAACGCATCTCTTCTATCTAACTAAGTACCATCGCACCGCATTAGTCCGTCGCGAAGTTACGGTGCGTATTTTCTGTACGGGCTCTCCTCCCTCTCTCCCTCGAGTACGGTCGAAAAACGGAGACCCGGACGAGAGTCTCTCGCTTTGTTCCCTTATCTTCTCCTCGGTGCGCCGTCTCCCGGCAAGGGTTAGCTGCTCGCGACCGCGAGGAACGCATGGGTGGTGCAGACGGCTCAGCTTTGTGGAAGTTTTGCGGTCGATTAAGCTCAAAGTGCAACTGCTCTGGTTCCCTTGCAACTGCAATGAGCGGAGGACGAGGAGAGATTTGCGAATAGACGGCCGTCGCGCCTCCCCTGGTGGCAGTCGCAACTAAAGCTCGGCCAGAAAATCCCTTCCACGTCTTTTCAGTGATGAAGTGCCCCCGAAGGGATCTTCGCTGGAACGAGCCGGAGAGCGTATTGCGCATCGAATTTCCCGGAGAGATCCGCTGCGGGATTGAGCTCGAAAAACTTACTGTATTTCACGACTTTCTCGCCGACAAAAGACATCGATCTTGCCGCCGTAGTTCCGTCGCTGACGTCCTCAACAACCCGCTTCTCCGAGTGACCAAGAATTGAGGAAGATTGATGAATAATGCGCCTCATCAATATTCATCAGGCTCGCGTTTCCTCGAACGACTCCGCCTCTGCCTTTAAGACTCGACCGCGGTATCTTAGAGAGGGAGCGTTCATTGAGAGCTGGGGGAAAGTCGAAGCGAGCCTCGCTCCGCTCCGAGTTCCTCAGGAGGACGTTGGAAACTCTGTCTAAAATAGATCCCCTCGGAGTCAGAAAGTGGAAAATTCGTCTTCTGTCGGCCTCGGTCTGTAGTCATCGCATTATCCACGCGATAACGATCATGCTCCACGAGGAGAGACTTGCTCGGATCCTGTTTAGAGGTAATCTCAATCGAGAGGGGAAAAGGCCTCTTGAGTGGCTTCCCAATCTCCACCGTGGGTCGTCTTCGTAGTCCTGCAGGAGCCGAACGGAGACCGTCGGAATCATTCCCATGGAGGTGTCCTCTCCTGCCTCTTCGGCCCTCCCCACTCTCGTTCCCTCCCATTCCCTTCCGGCACATGGACGGAATTCCGCCATTGATGTTGGAGCGTGATAGAAAATGAAGACGGGTTAGGGTCAATTGAATCCGTTCGTCCGTCTCGCCACCCGCTGTAGGATGGACTTCACTCAGTCAGCCCGTCAGTCAGGAGACTTCATCGATAGGCAGAGGCACATCACGCTGGTTGGCTTCAGTCCGAGTGAGCTCTGGTGCGGAGTTCTCCCAGCGGAATGAACTCTCGGGACTCTCAACACGCAGATGCTGTGATTGAGATCGTAATAAGTATTTGTGGACGTTGGCTAGCTGCCGAGTCGCACACCTCGATGTCCCGGAGCGACACGCTTGATTGATTGCCGCTCGCCAAAAGCCGTGTTCTGCTCTGTTTATTCATTCATAAGCAAGACGGTAGACTGACTCTTCTGTCCAATGAACTTTCATGCTTACCAGAGACCCGGCGCTCGAATATTCATGTCCCATGGAAGTTCATTGGTGTCCTGGCTCATCAATATCGACTTATTAGATAGATTCCGATTAGACGAAATTTCTAAACTTGAGCTCTTCCTCTTCCAGGCTCAGCAAGTGGGAATGCTTACAGAATCTCACAGCTATTTAATATCATCTTTGGTAAGTAGAATGGAGCGTTTTCCTACCCGAGCCAAGGGATTCCCGTTTATTCCCCACTCCAACTGCTTTTCCCCGTTTTATGATATGAGATGTGCATCACGTTGAGCGTCGTTGGTAGTCGGAGCCCGCGCTCGCGGAGCACTTTGTCTCTGGGGCTTTCCCCGAGTAGACGAATTATGGCCCCGGCCCCCATGACGTCACACCTCAATTCCTGGGCGTCCAGCTCCGAATCCATGACCGCTCAAGCGGGCGCAACGCCTGCCGACTTCTCCGGACTCAACTGGATTGACCGGCCAATCCTCCACGAGACTGGACAGCTTCCCGAGGGTCTGGGCATCCGAGGGGCGGTAGCGTGGCTCCGAAGCCTCCCACGGAAGTTCTCGGACTGCCCCTGCGGGATTTCCCCCTCGAAGAGCGGATGGAGAAAATTTCAGGCGACTGTGCGCGTTCACGAGTAAACCAATCAAACATTTTATTCTGGCTTTTTTTCCGGTTTCTGGGAGGGGGACCTCATCATGTTCGAAGTTTCTGATGTTTTCTGGAATGGTCGTAAAATGAATTCTCCTCTGGAGCACTCTGTTCAGTGTGAGCATTTAGTCCCGTGTCGCCTCGTGCTTCTGTGGGCCTCCGCTTACATTACCGCTTGCAAACGACGCGAGAACGAACACGAAATGTCGTTGTCGCCGCCCTCACTGTTGCGGCTGCTTCGGTTGCAAAAGTTCTTATCGTTGCGGACGAGAGCTTGCCGCAAGTCCGCGCCGTGTGCGTGTATATATGTTGCCACTCTTCCAGTCGTCTGCGGAGTCTCCTTCACCATGGAGCGCGAGAGGGCTGCTACCGAAAAGAAGGCGACAGAGTTCAAGGGCAGGATTTCGAGAGCGAATGGCGCGGCGGCCGCCGTCGCAACCCCGTGTATTCGAATTCACGATGAAGTCTCGGGAAGGATTAGGCCATCCCAGAGTTTCTGCGAGATCTTCTGAGCTCGAGTGTGGCGAGCTCTCGCCGAGGCTCCATTCGCCTCGGATCCGGCGAGCCGACGGGCTTTTTCCGAAAAAAAAATATTGCGTAAAAATATTGTGTATGTAAAATACGTGTAGCTGCGATACTGCCCGTGTTGCCACTGTTCAGGGAAAACAACGGGTACACGCAAGAGGAATGCTAATGACTCCTCCTCGAGAAACAAAGCTTGCTCGAGCTCTCGGCCCCGAGATCTCACCTGAAACATTCTCCGATTTGAGCCGTATAGCCGGGAGCGACGCCGACGTTTTGAGCTGCTTTCATTCCTCGATGGGTCACTTTGTTTCAATCAACGACACGACAATTTTTGTTGCTGTCAAAAGCAAGGCGCACTGCGGTTGACCCTTGGCACGGAAAAAGAGCTCTTCCTCTCGGCCATCAGAGCTCTTTTTAATGAAATTCAGTGACGTTTCCGAGATAAGATCTCTTGATGAACGACCAGCCTGAGACTCCCGTTGGGCTCAATGGGGACTCTCAGGAGTTCGTTGCGGCTGACGCCGTTGCTGCCACTGAGTGACTGGGGATGGCTGTCCGTCGGCCTCTCAATGAAAAAATATTTGGACCCATTCTCCTGGAGCATTGCTGCTGGTGAGCCCCATCTCCTCGACGCCCGCTTGTTCTCCCGCTGAGCCAAAGGAACTTTGCTAAACTTGTCTGACCACCGAGAGCCGTACGGCTCCATCTTCTCGGTCGGGGCTCGAAAGCCGTATAAATAATGTGACAGACATGAAGAGGTCCCGGAATTCGCGCAAAGCGAGAGCGGAACGCCTAACCTCGGACTCCCGGAATCATGGAACGCCGCCGCCGCCGCTGCAGACCGTTTCGTCTCGGGGCGAATCAAGTGTTTAGCTGTTGGGAGGAATAAAACCTAATTCACTGCGGGACTCGCTGCTACATCCGATCTCGTCACGGCCCGAGCGGAGCCGTCGCTCAACTTCGGCGCGCCGAGTCCGAGTTCAGAATTCGACTGGAACGAATGGCGAACGATGGGGGCACGCAGCGGAACTTCGATCGAATTTCCGAAATCTCCGCGCGGTGTTTCCACTGGAATGGCTCGCGCTCTCCGAGCTCAGGGAGACAGAAGTTTCGGATGGCTTGCCGACCTCAAGTTCCCGGGCTCAAAGGTCGAGCTCCGACTGCGCGAGCTCAGCCATCCGGTCTTCACAGTGTCATTCCGCTTAGCTGAAACTCGTCGGCAGAGTTCCACGCTCCAGCGACAAACGAGATCGATAGTAATTTGGGACATGTCGAGGTCGCGATTGATTTACGATTAGAGTCATTAAGACCAGTGTTTTCCGTTTGGCGGAGCTTTCCGCATAATCAGTGAACAGTCAGTCGGTCGGTTGTTCGGTCAGTTACTCAGTGGGAGAAGCGACATGAAAGAATTCCATCGCGGATCTGCTCCGGACGAGGAACTTTTTCCGGAATGATAGCGACCACCCCGACCGGATGGTTTTCGCTCTTTGTGCGATGGCCAGCTACTTATTCTGAAACGATTGCGGAACCCTACGAGGGGTTGTGCATGAGGGAAGGGGAAATTTCAGAACCCCGAATCGACATGGAAATTTCGGGGAAGGCTCATTTCATCACATCGTTCGAGCTGAGATCGAAATGAGGTGTCCCTCCTTATACTGGGTGTTTCGAACGTCACCCCAGGCCCTCCACTGCCTGTCTCACCTGATTCTCCCTCTTGAGGTCTCTCTGTTCTGCTGGGAGATCTTCTGACGCCTTGCGCCTACTTGGCTGAAATGAGCGAGACGGAAAATGGTCTTGAGGGGAAATCTACGCTCGAGGAAAAAGCTTCTGGCTCTGTTGCTTCATAAGCGAAATGGAGCTTTTCCATCGCCGATTGAGAGAGCACGCCGCTTCGAAGTGAATGAAGTCGACGAGGGAAGCCGGGGCGAGCCTCGTCCGTTGGTCGGTCGGGCGCTTGCTTGCTTGCTTGGTAGCTTGCTTGCTTGCTCGCTCGGCTGCTGGCCAGCCCCGATCCGGCAGGCTACGAAGCTGGATGGCAGTTGGGCTTCAGTTGCCATGAAGCCACTCGCCCAAATGATGAAGAAGCGGGAGACGATTATTTTCAACTCAGACCGCTTCTCCCGCGTTCATTCGTTCTCTTCCCCCGCCGGAACCCCCGCCCCGAGACACCGCTTACTCACGCACTCAGAGCCATCCGCACACGCGAACACGCATCTTCTCAGAGCGAGCCTGAACAGCCGAAGTGGCAAAGAGTTTTCTCGGCTCGCCCCCGAGCGCAGATCGAAAGGAGAATTTCGGCGCAGCCCATTCGGGCTACCGCTATTCCGACCAGACTTCGGGGAAAAAAAAGATGCTCCGAGGTTTTCCGGGTTTATGTTTTTTACCCCGTAATGATTCGATCGGCTCCCGTATCCTGAAGCTAATGCCCTGACTCTGTTCTTGATTGCAGGACCTCCACACGGTGGACCTGGAGGAATTCAAATACGGACAGACGAAGATCACCGGACTGCGGCTGGTCGACGTGGACTCGTCCGAGCTGCAGAACTTCCTCGACGGCTGGAAGAAAATGTCGCAAGAGTCAGGAAATAAGAGGGCGCCTCCCGCGCCCCTACCGCATCTCATCAAAACCGAGACTGCGCTTATGTATGACGCCGTCAAGCTGTTCGCTATGGGCCTTCAGCAACTCGACCTCACTAAGTCGGTCGACTTTCCTGTGATATCCTGCGACGCGGCCGAGTCCTCGTCCGACGGTAGCAGTCTCATCAATCTGATGCGACCGGTGAGTTCGTTGCTTGCGTTCCGTTCCCCCTCAACCTGCCGGCCCCGGCTTCTTGCTTCTTCCTCTTTGCTGCCCTGCCCTCCTCTCCCTCCTGTGCGTCGCCGCCACGAGTCCGAAGATCCACGCGTCATTAGGGAGAAGCGGCACGGGGATTCAGCAGTCAGGATATCGGCATCTCAGGTTACGTCCTCTCCCTCGCTCCTCATCTCTCTGCCTCTGCTGCTCTTTCATCGTCTTTTTGTTCTTCTCGCTCACTCAGTCGCCGCTACGACTGTCTTCGTTGTTTTCCTCTTTCCCCGGGTCGTTCTCTCTACTTTGAAGAGCTGTGAGCAGGGGGAAAACGAAACGTGGCGTCGCTCTCGCTCCTCCTCTCATTTATCCGTGACCTCTGCGGTCCGGAGCATTGATGGCGCTACATGAATTACGAATTTAGGAAC